TGGCACAGGGAAAGGCGCTCTTTACCCGCGACAAAGTCGCGTTGTCGCCGACCGGCGCTCCAAAGCTCTCCGAGCAGTTAGCTCTAAATAAAGCAGGCATTGCTTCCCTTGTATTTCCCCCCTCAGCAGTCGCCTTAGTATTATTATTATACTTCTATAGCTTTTGCTTTCGGACCTTATAATTATGTCACACAGCAAGGGAAACCGCTAGCATCCCAGCATCTGGTGTGCGGTTTAAAACTTTTGTTTCAAGATTCGAACTATTTATAGAAGGAAAACTTTGTAGGATAGTAATTTCCTACGGTTTTGAGAAAAATATGGCTGCGGTTATATTAAAAAGGGATATTTTTATTTATTACAAATATTTCCCCCTACTTAAAAAAGAAGATAGCATTGCAACTTTTTTGCAGACAAGTGGTCACCTACCAGCAGACGTATCCCGCCTATGAATAGAAACAGACGGCTCTGGCTATTTGGTTTAATCAATAGCATCCCACTAAATTAAACTTAACATGGTTCCATAAATCGAGCGCCTTTAAAAATCAGTAGCCCAGGCATGTGCATTTCATTAAGAATTAAGAATGTAGAAATAGGCGTTTAAGTTTCTTTTTATGGGTGTGTTTATGCCTACTCTTCTTGCCTAGCGGTAGGCTATATTTTTCCGTAGCCCGCAAAAAAAATACACATACGCACACACACAGAGGAGCACGCGTGCTTGTTTATGTGCGTGTGCATGTGCTCACATGCATGCATACGGAGAGAAAAGGTACGTATATGTATATATATATATATTTATATACAGCCACATCCAGCTCAAGGGTAGGAGCTTAAATTTTGCACCCTCCGAGGGGGGAAAAAAAAAGTGTGCGCTCGCCATGAGGGTGGAAAAGAAGAGAAATCCGTGCGGACCCCAAAGACGAGGTGAAGGCGAGGCCAATGGTAGTGAAGCCGGTTTTTCCCATCACAGTCCTCTGATGCAGCAGAGCTGAGCCCCTCTGGCCAGGCAGACCCCGAAGCGCCCATCGGACCCTCCCGCTGCCCTTCCCAGCCCTGCTCCCGGGCCCTGCGTGGAGGGACACGCCAGTTCCCACGGCCACGGAGCACGGGGCAGGGAGGGGGGGAAGGATGCTCGAGGGAGGGAGCCGGGAGTAGGCTTTAACCCAGCTCCGCAAGCCCGGGAACTGCTGCCCCAGCGCCCTCCTGTCCCCACGGCTGCCCCAAAAAGGGCTCAC